AGCCAGCTTTGAAAATCTTGACCTCCGATGCCATCCAGTAGGGGGCACTGGTACACGCACACTCACACACAGGGGCGGATGAGAGTTTTGCGGGGCCCAGGGCAGCACAATTTTGCAGGGCTTCCCTTTGGAGAAAAAATAGAAAAGAAGGCATCAAATGCGCAAATTGAAGGCTGTTTTCATATTAAATGTGAAGTGGGTAAATTTGATAGAAACTTTATTTAGTTGGATAATTTTTATTTTAATTATATTGTAATTCATTCGTAAACAAAATTCTGCATTAATAATTACAACATTTCATTTTTATTTAAGTCTATTATAGCTGTCTTGCTCTTTTGGCAGCACATTCTTCAATTATGTCATTAAAGCCCATTTCTTTACACAGATCATTTTCAAAAAAGTTTAAAAATCCTTCTTCACAAACAAATGCAACAGCAACTACATGACAAATATGTGTGACTGAGGACTACACACATGAAGCAGTACATTCACCTGCCAACATGATTTTTAAACCCCTACAGCAGTGAAATCCTGCATGATTGTACTCGCAATACTCCTCTATTATTCTGCATCCTTTTAGACCGTTAGAGAAAGGTTTTCAAAATCACAAATAGCAATTAGGCCCAACTGAAATAGCAAAATTCTAATGAAAATTCAGAGCTGGAAGTCCAACTTTATCAGATACACTTTTGAGAAAAATCTCCCATCTATATCTATGTAACAATTTATCATTTAAGGAACACATTTTCAGAAACATGCAAATGAACATATCCCAGATTCAGCCCTGCTGGCTATCTACATATTATTTCTTAGCTGGCTACAAAGTGAGACAACATTTTAATGTGTTATATGCACACACAATATAATTATATGCAATGTAATATCCTGGAAAATCCTGGAGTGATTTCTGTCACGAAGACCTGTAGCTCAATGAAAGAGATAGTCTGTAAAACGTAAAGGGAACCCCTGCCCCCTAGCTATTAAGCTGGCTACAGTGAAGAGTGGGGATAATGTTTTATCTGAAGTTTCTTCCTATTTATGTTCGGGAGACTTTTCTTTAGCTGTTCCTTTAAAAGTGATGTAAAGGCAAAACCAGACACAACCTGAGTTCCTACTTCCTTCTACCAATAGTAGCCTCTGATATTATATATTTGGCATTAGTAATTACTGTTGCTAGGTGGTGCTTTCTCACATAAAACACTGCCTTAGTACTTAGTGCAAGACCTCACAAGAGGAACACTTCTCAATAGCTTGCTCAGGTCTTCAGTCTTTCTAGAGCTATAGACGGCACAGCACAGTTTGGCTCTTCGTAGGCTTCCTAGGACTCCTCTCCCCATAAAACATTCTTAGTTTTCAGATATTACTACAAACCAAATTATCGACAGGCAAAGTTTCTGCAACCCCTCAGGGAGTAGCTTATACAGCCTAACCACAGAACACCTATAGCTCCACTCCACCCAAAATGAACAAGACTTTACCTATGCAATTTCCTTTCCTCCTCAGCACCCATAAACTACCTTCAATATCTCTTTTTTGTCTCAACAAAATAGAATATTTAAGCATTTTTACTATAACCCGAGAGCTGAGCAATTCCTCCATCCTGACTGGCTAATAGGAGTACAGCTCCGCTGACCCAATGAGAATAAGGATCCTAAATAAACCAATGAGAGAGCCTCTTTTTTTTCCTTCGCTCTGTGCTCTGTGCACCTCAACTGTCAACACTAACAGCTGAAGTGGCCGGTGCCCGATCTTTCCGAAGGCATGAACAGAACAGGGCACTTGCTCGGTGATCTATCGCTTGTCCTCTAGTCCCAGCATCTGGCATTCAGAGTTTAGGGACCTCTAGAGCATGGGGTTGGATCCTTGATAATCTTGTCTGATAAATTCACCCGCTTCGTTTAAAAACCATTCCTCCCCACCTGCACCAAATCATACGTTAAATTCCTTCATAAGTCGATTCATTTGTTCATTCATTCCTGTTCCTCTTTCAGTTTAGAGACAAGGCGGGGAAATTTAACATTCGTCGAGAGAGAAAAAAATCAAATACTGGTCCGGTCTGAGTGCAGAACTGTGTGTGTGTGTGTGCAAAGCTTTGGTGTTGTTGCTCCCCCCCCTTCTTCCGCCTTCACCTTGCTACCAAGCAAGTGATGGGTCATTCCTTAGGAGCAAGGCTAGAGAAAGAAACACCCTCCGGCTCCGATCAAGATGCCTGGCTGGTGTGGAATAACGGGAAGCCTCGAGTGGCTCTTGGGATTTCGGGGTTTCAGATACACACTTTTCGAGAAGAGCCAGAGAGGCCGAGACATGAGGGCTGGGAAGTTGATTCATTTGCATCCGGGTCCAGGCTATATTAGCAGCCTGCAGCAGCTCTGGCTTCCAGTGGTGGCGTGAAGGGGCGAGAGCGGCTCCGATCAAAGCGCCTGGCAGTGGAGAGCCAACTGGCTTCTAAAGAAGGGCGGGGTGGTGCTGGCTGCCGGAGAAACTGCCCCCTCTGCGCTGCGATGAATGCAGCGCAACCGGGCGCTGCTGCTCCTGCAACCCCAGGCAGCCAAAAGAAAAAGAGAAAAAAGAAGCCGCCCAGAAGACAGTGGAGCATGGACTTCTCCAAGAACTGCAAGGGCTTCTCCTTGGCGGTCATCAAGGAGGAGCAGGCCTCAACTGGGGTCCACGTCCAGAGGAACAAAAGCCGCATCAAAGCGCTCAAGGACATTCAAAGTGGGGCCTATTGAAGCGCGGGGCCCGGGGCAGCTGCCCCGCTCACCCTGCCCTATATCCGCCGCTGCTCACACACATTCACTAGCCCAGCGGTTCTCAACCACCAAACCGTGGACCAGTGGTGGGCTGGGAACCCCTGCCTGCTAGCCCACGGCACTTTGCCAGGCCACACCCCCAGCTGCGAATGAGCCCTGATTGCTGGGGAGTTCCATTCACTATAAGGTGTGTGCCTGCGCGTGCACTAAAAATTCTTCCATGGTGAGTGATGCTGTGAGCTACCCATGTGCCATGGCTGGAGTCGGCCCACAGTGAGGCTGTCCCTACTGAGGCAGCCTCGCCACGGCCCCAGTTCCAGCTCTGGTAGCAGCCACGCAGCCTGGCTGATGGGACTGCGTGGTGGTTGGCTGCTCCATGTCTTTTCTGTTGTGGGCAGCGTGTTCAGGACCAGGAAATGGAGCCTTCATGGCCAGGAGCGTCCCAAGGAGGATCAGGGTAGAGGCCCGGGGAGCCGCGCTGGGTGTCCGTGATTTCCACCCAGCTTCCCCCCTGTGGCCTTCCCTGCCAAGTCCGGCTTGCACCACGTGTCTGTCAGAATTGTGCAGGGCGGAGGGGGAAAGAAGCCGGGCTCCTGGATTCAAACCAGCAGGTGTCAGGGGGGCTAATAATGCTCGGCTGTCAGGTGGGCACCAAAAGTCTGAGAAGTGCACGGGCTGAGTGACCCTGCGCCTCTATGCCCCAACTGTTAATGGTCTGGGGAGGAACTCTCAAACCACCAGAAGCATGTGCCCACCCCTGTCACCTGTGCTGCCGACACCGCCGATCCTGTGTGTGTGTTGGGGGGGCTTGACTGTTGCCAGGCCTGGCAGGCCAGGGGCGTGGTCTCTTCCTGGCCAGGGAAGAGCAGTTTGCTGTGTGGCAGCCTGAGAGCAGCCATGACCCGGGCAGCAGCGCTCAGCTGGTGGCTGGGAGGTAGCACAGGGCTAGGTGAAGGTGGTGGGGTGGGCACTGAGGACACCAGGGGTGGGACAAGTGTTGGGGATTCTGGGAGTGAGGGGTGGGGAACTGGCACTTGGGGGGCTGGGGCTAGTACTGGGGAGCTCTTAGGGGTGGGGGCTCTGAGAGGCAAGGGGCTGACACTGGGGGGGCACTAGGGTGTCCTGGGTGGGGGGCTGGGACTG